GGTGTGAAACGGTGTGTCACCTCAGCGTCTCCTCGGTCTTGCACTGTTCTCCCCCAACAATGTTATTCCTCACAGGGGCGGATCCAGCCGATCCGTTTGGGGAGGGCAAAAGTTTCCCGATCCATACGACGTTCCCAACCACCGCAGCACCGTCGGAAGGTAAGTTAGGAGGGGTGGGGTGAAATTTTTATTAATTAGCACCTCTGGAGGTTTTGGACCACGTTTATTTTTCAAAGTGCTTATCATCGATTTATGAAAGCAAAGAACTGCTGGAACTATACAGCTCTCTCTCTCTCTCTCTCTCTCTCTCTCTCTCTCTCTCTCTCTCTCTCTCTCTCTCTCTCTCTCTCTCTCTCTCTCTCTCTCTCTCTCTCTCTCTCTCTCTCTCTCTCTCGAAGTTATTCGAAATGTCTGCAAATTGTGCTCCTCAAATAATTACAACATAAAGCCGCGGCTAGTTTTTTTCACTGAATGATGTTTTTTAGTCTAAACACCATCCTCAGCGTCTCAAACCACTTTTCTGGATCCTCAGTGGACCTTTGACAGCCCTACTGGCCCTCCTAGAAAACCGACCCCTGGAAACCGACGCAATGGAGGCCCCTCAACAGACTCGCATCACTCCTCCGACTGAACGAGCTCTCCGACCAGGGTCGGTCGCTCCAAGACTCCCTTGAGGGTCCCTCCAAGATTACTTTACTCCCCGGTCTCTCAGAAGTAACTGAAGGTTTTCAGAAAGCAGTGTAGGCTCGAAAGTCTTTTGTTTGGCTCTGAAAGATCGGCATCGGACCCAAAAAGCCTGTATCGAGGTCATCAAAAGCCGAGGTGGAGACCACAGGAGGCGATGTTTGGCCAAAGCAGTCGTGAGCCGGTGTGGAGGACTGGATTGAGGGAAGGGCAGGAGTCTCGGTTTGGGTCTTCAGAGTCAAGCGTTAGGACCCCAAAAGAATGTGTGGGGCTCTTGGGCTCTTGGAGGCAGATAGGCCCTGGAGTGTGCACGTCGTCCAAGGAGCCAACAAATTCGGCTGGTGGCCACTGGACCCGGTTCTAAGAAGCCGCTTGGGACCCAATTTTAATGGGTCGTTGGTCCCATGAATCGGTATGTGGGCGTTGTAGAGTCGTTGTAGGGCCCACAAGTTCCGCCTTTGGTATCCCCAGAGGCCTGCGACAGAGGCACCAAGAGCGGATAAAGTGCCTCAACAAGCCGACATAAGACATGGGAATCAGTGTGGAATCTCATTAGCCTACATGAGCTCTCAGAGTCTTTCTTTAAGGCTCTCAAAGGTTGTTGTGAAGAGTGGACCCTCAATCTGAAATTTTCACGCGGCCAGTATTTGTCTGAATAGCTCCAATCGTAAAATATGCTCCATTTCAAGGTTTTTGTGTTGTTTCACCTCAATTAAAGACGAATTCGGTGCTTGATTGCTGAAAAAGCACTTAGGTCGGGTCAGCTGAGGTCAAATGAGGTCAAACTACGATTTTGCTAATAACTTCGCACACCATGAGGCTAAAGTTTCACTAAAAATGATGTCATTGTGATCCTTGCGATCAGCCGAATTGGATAATACGCGGTATGATGCAATTTGTTTAGCATGAACTAAATTAATTAATAGTTCACTTCAAAATTAGGAAAATTTTAAGTAAGCCTTAACTTGTGGCAAAGTATATCATTCAATGCGCACGGACGTGCTGAGCTCACTGTTGCCTTTATTTTTGCTCTATCTTAACCCGCGCATGACTTGGGGGGGGGGGGGCTCTCCAGAGCCCCCTCCCGTTTTTCAGCAATATCTTCTAAACCGTTTAACGGATCAATACGAAAATTACTGTACCTTCAGCACCATTAGTTTGACACCTTGTGTCAAAATTTCAACTTTCTAGCTACCGTAGTTTGGCTAGAAATGACGTCAGAGTGACGTCATATCGGCCGATGTTGAGGCAAAACATTGAATTACTGCAAACGCTCTCAAGAGCTCAGTTTTAAAGTTAGATCCAATTTCTTAGTACATGAGTGGAAAAAAATACACGTCGCTATTAAACTACTATCTCGAATTCTCAATATTTTGAAAATATGTATTTATAATAATAACAGAAAATATTTTCTGATTTTTCAAAAAGTTATTGATTTTGTCGCAAAAATCAGAACATATGTGATAGAACACACACTGATAAAGTACTCCAGCAAGTTTTAGCATGATATCGTCAAAAATAGCCAAGTTATTTGCTTTTTTGTCAAAATTTTACAATTATATATTTTTGAAAGCCATTTTTTAGTACGTGTTGATATCGTAGAGCAATATAAATGGCACCATCGTGTTCCTGAGCTAAAACTGCATCTGATAGTCACCTTTTAGTTGTTAAATTTGATTTTCAAATTTTGACCTCTACCGACCTGAAAGTTACCTGATCTCCGATATATTCAGCTGAAAATGACCTAAAATGACACAGACGACATTGTTTTCGAGAGTTCCGTGTAAAATGAACCATAAAACATGCGTCACGTGACCGATACATGATATACAATTTTCGTGACTTAGGATGACCTGGCCTTGACCTGAAAAATTCCAAGTAAATGTTCGGTACCCTAAGGGTATCTAAGGCTCAAGGAGTGCGTAAACCAAAAATGAGCCTGATCGGACTTCTCAGCCGGCGCGGCGGTCAGAGCCTAAATTGAGAAGAAGCAAATATGCTGATAATTTTTACATTGACCTGACCTTTGACGTCATCGGTGAACTCGAGGTAAGCGAAAATGGGTTTTGTTTGCTCGACAGTTTTTCCAGCGCTATTAGACGCCGTTTTAATTTTGACGATCGGCTCAGTAGTTTCGGAGTTAGGATGGGGGGGGGGGGGCTCTGGAGAGCCCTCTCCCTCAGTCACTAGCGTTATGGAAAATACCTAAGTCATGCTCGGGTTAACCCTCGCCGGCCGAGGGGGGGGGGGCGGGTGCCGCCCCCCATAGGGTTTTTTCGCGATAGCTCCGAACACGCTGGAGATAGAGAGCTGAAACTTGGCATACCTGACCTTTGATCCAAGCCGCATCTTTTGAAACCAACCGCATTTTTGGGTCAGGTCAGGTCACTGACCTATGACGTCATAAGTGAACCTCTGCACGGTCTTCAGATGTCGCAACTTCGCAACGCCCTCACTGCCAGAGGAGAGGTCACAGGGAAATGAAACTTGCAGGATCTAGTATCCATTATGAGTCCCACAACTTGTATATCTCGGATTTTTCCTAAAGGTCATATGAGGTCAGGTCATTTTCGTGACCTCACCATTATAAGTCAATGGGGAAAAATGAAAACTGCTATTCTGGCGCCGGGAACGATCTCCAACTATCTCAAGCACACAGAATCGTGATTTTATGCACTCCTTGCAAGGTTAGATGCGTCACTTTTGCAATGTTGACCTTGCGTGACGTCATTTATGACGTCATCAAGGTCATATTAGTTTTTCGTCAATAACTCTTGATCAAATTGAGCTAGCGAGTCGGGAAAGCCACCAATGGACTCAGGAAGACCTGCCGAATCGAATGATATGCGACATGACCCCTTTCGACCAGCTTCGTGACCTGGGGGTGCTGACCTGACCTTGACCTGAGGTCAACACCCCAAGTTGACCTGACCCGGACAAAAAGTATATCATTCGACGCGCCTGAGCGAGACGAACACGATGCTGCCAAAATCGGCGCTCTGCGGCCGTTTTTTGCGAAGTTATTCACCAAAAACTGAACCGTACCTTGGGGCACTTGACCTGACCTCAGAGGTCACCGGTTGACCTAGGACCTTAAAATCGGGTACCAATCTCTGCGTCTCGTAACGGCGCACACGCTCGTTTTTTCCGCGACGCGCTAGCTCCACCAGGGGCGAAACGGCGAGGGGGGGTCGTACCCGCCCCCCCCCCCTCGGCCGGCGCGTATGTAGAAAACCAATAGGTCCGGCGAGGGTTAATTAGATCAAAAGTTAGAAGCGAAAAACTTTTGTCCTGTTTTAGCGAAATTTTTACATTTATACCTCCACCCCTCTAAATATTGGCCTAAAGCAACCAAATTTGCACACGGGCGAGATCTCCTATGGACCCACCTACCCTGTAAATTAACGGTTTCTAAGTGCCATAGGAGCCAATCGCCGGGGGGGGGGGGGTCGTACCAACCCTGGCCCCTGCCACCCCCCTGGCCGTCTGCGTTATGAAAAAGGCCCTGGCCTGGCGAGGGTTAAATAATAGAAGTGCCTTTAGCAATGATAGGTTTTTGCACGTGCACGCATTCTTTAAATGACATTATACATTCATCGATGTTTTTTTCTTTCTTATGGTGAAAACCGTATGTCTTCAGCTGCATTTTACTCTGAGGTATTACTGTTTTTCCAAGAGACCACCTAAACCTGTGGCGCACCATAAAAGAGGAGCCGGGCAATAGACAAAATCGAGTGCCAGCGCGAAGTAATCAGAGCTCAGTAGCTCATTGTCATATCTCACTAGCTCATAGCTCACAGCTCATTGTCATATCGCCATGCTTGACCGCCATTCGCCGCTTAAGCTCATTTTCCCCAGTTGGGCTGGCGCCGCGCGCCGTGTCCACTCCCTTGGGTGCCCCTGGACGCTGCCTGTCCGCGATGTCGGCGCCCCCTTCTGAAATCGACGACACCACCGACATATCATATGTAGGAAGTCTGCAGTCGTTTCAATTACTTAAAAAATATCCTGATCTTAGCAGACCTTTTTCCTCCCACGAACTGACCTCTGAGGGTCTCGCGCCGCGCTTACACGCGCTTTCGGCCATTGTGCGGCGCCTTTTTATGGTGCACCACAGGTTAAGGCGCTGTAACCACCACAGGTTTTGTGCTGCTTTGAAAGATGAGACAATTGAGAATGACCTCGACGGTCAGCTCAGCACAGCCACAAGCTGGTGTCATTTTGCGACTTACACGCAGTTAGCCCTCATTCTCAAATTCTCCTCCAGATAGTTCACTATGATGTATGTCGTAACATCATTTTCCGCTTCTTTCCAGCCGCTGCCACTACTGCTTGCACAGGAAAGCGCAGAAAGCGGCGACAGCTGTTCAAATCTGCAGATCTCGGAGAACCAGAAACAGGGTATGTGTCCCGCGAATCTGTTTTTTCTTTGCTCATTTGCATAAAAACAAGTATCAAAATTTCCGGGAAAATTCAGATAAGCACGTCCATAGACACTCCATATAGAATACTGGCACGTCTCAGTTGCATTACTATGAGTGATATTACATGTATTGGGAAAGCATTGGTGCACAACTCGTTTCTTTTTACCTCCAGAACTGCTCTGCTGTCACAATGTTCACCAGCCCAATCTCTGTCTGTCATAACCTCAGAGTCGCTGTCCTGATGCCTGCCTTGTGAATCAGACCTGATACGCTTTTCCATCACGCACTGGACCCTTCTCGGATTGTGCGACGTGCGGCCCTTTCTGTAACCATGTCATCCTCCAGTAGCCTAATCCATTCTCCCGTCTGACCGTCATAGAACCCGTCGAACCCCTATGGAACCCATTCTGATCATCTGTCTACCGTCCCCTGACTTTCTGTTCTTTCATACCAACCCTCTCAAGTCACATCATCTCTTCCGGCCCTGTTGCAGAATCTACCAACCAGACATTCTCTCGTCTCTACACCCCGTGGAGCCGGAGCCGGGCGCCGACCGCGTCGGTCGCGCTCCCGTTCTCCAGGTGACCAGCACGGTGACCTCGACGCTGACTCTGACCTCGACCACGGTCAACTCGGCCACCACGGTGTCCGTGTCACTGCTCTGTGCCGACCCGCTCAGTCTGCTGCCCAACTGCTGATCGCCGCCACTAGTCGCTTGTTTTGTATTGTTGTTATTTATTCTAATAAATTGTTTATCTATATTGCGCCTTTATCAGACCTCATCCCAAAGATTCTATAATTAGGTCCTAGCGTCAAGACTCATCACCATTGTAGTCGCATAATTTCATAACGATGGGATTTTCGTGAGCATTTTTTATGACTGATTTCAATGAACACATGTCGGGTTTTCACAGGCATTCTGGCTTAGAAAACAGATTCCGTCTGCCGGTCAAAATTGTTGAATTGTTTCAATACAAATGATACAAAAATCCCTGCCGCTTGTGTGCGTGTGTGTGTGGGTGTGTGTGTGTGTGTGTGTGGGGGGGGGGGAGAATAGTTGCACTCTCGATTCTCAACCGAAGTCTCATGAACCGATAAATTCGTGGAGATAACCTCACACTGCAGCTTGTAGCGTAAAAAGGGAATGGTGTAGACAAAAACAAGCTGTTATCCTTGTAATATGTTTTTTATACGAGTGATTATCTTTTATTATAATTTTTTTCGTGGGCAATAAATGTCCCGAATAGATACCTATCTAAATTATCTTTGCTATCAATCGAGATCAATATACATATAGATAAATATTAATGGGCCTCTCTCTGTGTAAATGGTAATAAACGGAGGTGATCTTAACTATTTAGATTACGCTTAATTGCAACTGCCTGTCCCATAGCTCAGTTGGTAGAGCGCTGGACTCCCGGTAGTGAGAGCCCGGGTTCGAGTCGCTCCGGCGCTCGATATTTGAAACTCCTGACGGGGATGGTCTGCGGTTGGTGGGAGCAGCCGCAGCCAGTTGAAGTCAGTTGAGTGGGACAGGCCGTGTCCGGCTTTGAAGGGCACGTTAAACTTTGGCATCTAAATTCTCCCGTTACCCGGAATTGCGCGATCGGACGGGAGGGGTCGGGGTCTACGCAACAAGCTCTGCTTAGCGTAGGCTTCGGCTCTGTCAATCCACCCATTCAAACATTCGAGCTAAATTTATTAAAAAATAAAATAAAAAAACTATATAATGCATTGAATAAACTCTTTAGAGTTTGAGGAGTATATTGAATATATTTCATTGCATATACTCTTCTAAGGTATCTAAGTCATCCTTGATCGCAAAAGCTTGAGTAATCAAATATTCATTTTTATATCATGAAAGTTCTTAAAACTTTGAAAGGAAGACAACTAACTAGCTGATGTATAGCTATCGTTTTTTTTTTATTCCGCTCATTTTTGACATATGTTTAAAATGTAACGGTTTTGTTTAAAGGAACATCGATTGGCAAATATTCTCGTTGACCTTGTTTGCTCCAAACTCCGAGCCAAAACACGCTCATTAAGCATACATTTGCAGATGTGTATTACCGAACACGGCTCACGTAATCACAAGTCACTGATAACAAGAGGGAAAAATAACTGAGCAGGAAGTCACACGACATGAGCTCTCAGCCTTCGGCTAAACAGCAAACAGTGCCTCGGCGGAGCCTCACGGCACCGGGTCCTAGCAGGCCGGCGGGAAACTGAAGGACGGGTCGAAGCAGGCCACGCTGAGGGAGACGGTGGTGCCCGTGTCAGAGAAGAAGGTGCCCAGCGTCAGGCTGCTCGTGGTCGTGGTGAAGATGGTCAGGAAGAGCCCCTTGGGGTCGCGCACCTCCGAGTCGGTGTGCACTCCGGCCTCTGCCTCTGGCTGCAGGGAGCTGTAGACGGGCACCGGGCCGCGCTGGTACTGATCCGGTGACAGCCTGCAGAGAGGTGCGCCAGCGTCAGCGGGGTGAACAGAGGGTCGCAGGAGCAGCGAAGGGAAAAACATGTTGGGGATCATTAATCAGATTGCTGATACATGAAAAATCGCAACTTTTGTTGCTACACAATGTCCCAAAACCCACATAATGAAGTAGTGACCAGCACTTGTAACAGCTTATTTTGTAGACAAACAGCTATTATCAATAACTCAGCAGCATGACAGCAGGTTGTAGGAGCGTCGACCGTGTGAGCGACTCACTCTGAGGGCAGGCCCTGGATGACGTTCCTCCTGCGCCGTCGGCCCGTGCACGTTTGCGTGTTGTCGATGGCGCTGATGCACGTGAAGAAGCGCGTGCCGGTGGTGGTTAGCGAGATCGAGAGACGCGTCACCGTCGAGTACAGGCCGCCGAAGAACAGCTTCCCCTCTCGCTTGGCTTGATCAGCCGAGACTGAAAGCATTGCAGCAGAACAGTTGAATTAGTGATACGTGGGAAGGTTAGGTACTTGAAAATGCCAGCAACGCTATAGATTTTGTCCTCGAAGACAATATTTTATGTGTGTCGGTCAGGTACTGAATTGGTTAACCTATCCGTGAGTGTCAGCTCTGTGCTCGTCACGGCCTCACCTGGGGCGACCTGTGACTGTTCCGGCTGCTCGGAAGCCACCAGGACCAGGGTCACGGCGAGTCCAGCCAGCGCCAGGGGCCGTAACATCAGCTTCATCTGTCAACAGAACCATCGGCACCGGTCAGATCGTGTGACCGGTCGGTGCCGCGAGAGGCACGGGACAGCTGGGTCCCGCTGAGATCAGGGAGTGATGAGGGCACAGAGAATATTGAACAGTGAACCGGCATTGCTTAACAAAACAGCCCCAACCCACGACCAACTCCGACCAGAAGTTGCACGAACCTTGACGGACGGCTGGCTCGCTCGGCGCCAGTCGGCAGACTGCTAGGGATGCTCCGCCGCTCGGCCGCCAGTTGCACACGTTGCAGGCGCACCATATATGTCCTCCGGGCACGGTCCGCGCAGTGGCAGCGTCCCGTTGGCTGCGACCTGCCGAACGGACGGCTCGCCATTCATTGATCAGCTCATGACCAACGCACTTCACCCAGCTATTTTGTTAGTTGTATTTCATTTTCATTTATGTGGAAAGCCACGCATGATGGAGCCAATGTATTCAAACATAAAGGGAGAAATAATTCAAATAGGAAAACTAGAGCTTTAACCCGCGCCCCAGTGACGGTCTCAGCCAACTTCGCCCTAGTGGGTGGGGGGGGGGGGGGGGAGGGAGGGCATATGTTACCACCCACTTCTAACTAAAAAACTAAGAGAGCTAGAAAGACGCGGTAAAAAGCAGTCGATAGCTCTCAATGCGTACGTTTGAAAGTATTTCAGTCATTTTTCATCTTAGAGCAATATTGGGATCAGCAGAGGTCATCAAAGGTCAAAATTTGCGAATTGTCATTATATTTTTCAGCAAACACGCCATTATCTCAGGAACTATGATAGATAGAAAAACGCATGGAAAAGCAATCGATAGCTTTTGAACTCTTCTTTTGATAAGGATATTATCTAAAATGACCTCAGTTCAACGGTTTAGCCTCCAGAGGGCAAAAACTCAAGAAATAACTGTTTTTACGAAATGTGTTTTTCGACAATAACTTTTGACTAAAAAAAGGGACGACATTTCTATTGCCAGAATCGTGTTCCTCTCGCCAAGACGCGTCGAATGAACTATAATTTGACCTTGAAAGGTCAACTTGAAAATTTGACCTCAGGTCAAGATGACCTGACCGGAAAAGGTCATGTTACATATCAGTCGATGCGTCTCGGCAAGACAAACACAATGAGGCCATCCCCAGCGTTCGATCTCTTTCCAATGGAGAGGTATTGGCAAAAATCTGTTTGTAGCCTCAAATGACCTCGGATGACCTTTCCAGAGGCTATCAGCAAAAAAGCACCTTGGTCGTCACGGGTGGTCCAAATCATTGTGATTCTGAAATATTTGGACTGTTCCTATGCGTACACACGGATCTAGAGACATTTTCGTTTTTTTCCATTGACATATAATGGAAAGGTCACGCCACTGGCCTGACCTTAGGTCACGGATATAAAAAAAAATCCGAGATATACAAATTATAGGCGCCCATACCATCATGCAATCCACTAAGTTTAAACCCTCTGTGACAAACACTGCAGGCTGGACATGATTGCAAACGTTTATTTAGGCTTGGTCAGTTAACTTGACCTGGTGACCTGACCTGACATGACCTGGGGTCAAAAATTTCACACATTGTCCAAAATTGATGTACAGAAAGCTACTCCAAGCGGCGCGGCGCTACGCGCTACGCCGCTTAAAGGGACACTCCCACCTTAACATTAGTTTTGAGTTGAGATAGCCAAATTGGTGGCCATGGCCTGCAAATACCGGTTTGGGCACTCACAACATCGACAAATGCTTTAATTCGGAGATATGGAATTTCAAACTTGCAGTTTTCGGATTCTAAGGGGCTAGTGCATTGGTATGCCCCCTTAGAATTTGTGACGTCAGCGGAGATCTAACGATTTTTAAATCTTTTACTAAAACGTTTGGTAGCACGCGGTGGTATATGCTGCTTTGCGCGCAACAAATGCCGCACTTTCAAATAAAGTCGCTAGGAACAGCAGAGATCCCAAAAAGTAAACAAAAGTAAAAGTCTAATATCTTGAAAACCGGTGAATATTTTTCAATGAAATTTGGTAGATATTCGTTTTCGCTCTTTCTGAACCGAGCGACATCACTTTCGTGCCAATTCATTAACTTTTTTGAAGGTGGGAGGGTCCCTTTAAATTCTTTATTCACACGCAAAAACGTCACAGGGTGGTAACATATGCCTCTCCCCACTGCACTGGGGCGAAGGTTAAAACTAACAATGCTTGCTTTTTACTGATAAAAATTGTGTATGATGGATCGGTACGATACCTCCGCATTTTCTTCCATATTGAGCTAGCCCTCGCCGGCACAGGTCATTTTGCGTCCTTCGACGGCACAAGGGGGTTGTGTACGACGCTTCCATGACAAAATATCGAAACGCAAAATATCGAAGCGCAAAATATCGAACGCAAATTATCGAAAGCAAAATATCGAAGTCGCAAATTATCGAAATTGCAAAATATCGAAATCGCAAAATATCGAATTGCAAAATATCGAAATCGCAAAATATCGAAATCGCAAAATATCGAATCGCAAAATATCGAATTGCAAAATATCGAAATCGCAAAATATCGAATAGCATAATATCGAAAGCAAAATATCGAAACGCAAACTATCGAAACGCAAAATATCGAAACGCAAAGTATCGAAAGACAAAATATTGAAAGACAAAATATTGAAAGACAAAATATCGAAAGACAAAATATCGAAAGACAAAATATTGAAAGCCAAAATATTGAAAGACAAAATATCGAAAGACAAAATATCGAAAAGGCAAAATATCGAACGCAGAATATCGAAAAGACAAAATATCAAACGCAAAATATCGAACAGACAAAATATCGAACGCAGAATATCGAAAAGCCAAAATATCGAACGCAAAATATCGAACAGACAAAATATCGAACGCAAAATATCGAAAAGGCAAAATATCGAACGCAAAATATCGAAGAGGCAAAATATCGAACGCAAAATATCGAAAAGAGAAAATAACGAACGTAAAGTGTCGAAAAGGTAAAATATCGACTTGAAATGGCCCTCTGCGGACTCCTTCGAGCTCTGTCGAACTCATCGGGCCCTCTGTTATCTGTAGGCCTCAAAGAGCAATCAGCGGGTCCATGACAGACTTGGAAAACTCTGATATTTTTTGTAGATCTCAGCAGTGGCAGCGGAAGGTAATTTCGGATGGGGGTGCAAAGTTTTCTCAAGGGGCCCCATTGGAAGTTTCGCCCCCCCCCGATATTTTTTAGAGTGATTATCATTGCTTCATGAAAAACGAAGATTTTGGAAAACTATCCCCAAACACACAAGTTCTGCAAAATATTTGAAATTACAGTGTACCTATCTCAAATAAAGCATAACGAAGCAAATGCAGCTAGTTTTTATCATCTAATCTTGTTTTAGTCTAGCCACCACCCTCAGCATCTCAACCCACTTTTCTGGATCCGCAGTGGACCATTAAGGGCCCTACGAGACCGTTTTTAGAAGACCGTGTTTAAAAGCCCCTTGGAAACCGACCCCTTAGAGGCTCCTCCAGAGACCTACATGACTCCCCAGACCGAATGAGCCCTCCGACCAGGGTCGGTCCCTCAGAAGTTGCTGAAGGGTTTCAGAAAGCAGTATACTCGTAGGCTCGAAATGCTTTTTATGGCTATCAGAGACTGGCATCGGACCCAAAAAAGCCTGTATGGAGACCCTCCAAAGCCGGGATGGCCACCAGGAGCCAATGTTTAGCCTAAAGAGCCAGTATGAAGGACTGAATAGAGGAAAGGACTAGGAGTCTCAGTGGGGCCTTCAGGAGCAAGCGTTTGGGCCTCAAAAGTATGTGTGGGGTCTTAGAGGCAGGTAGGCCCCTGGGGCGTGCACGGGGTGGGACCCCGTGCGCTAGCGAGGTGGGAGCTAGCGTGTGAGTCCAAATATTCGACTGGCGGCTACTAGAACCTGCATGGGGATTCTTAGAAGCTGCTTAGACCCATATATAATGAGTCATGAGTCTTAAGAGTCGATGTAGGGGCCCTAAAAGCCGGTGTAGGGCCCATGGCCCCATAAGTTCGGCGTTGGGACTCTCAGAGGCCGGCGAAAGGGGAACCAAGAGCGGATAAAGTGATTCAACAAGCCGACATTTGGCCTGCGAATCAGTGTGGAATTCCAGGAGTCTGCGTGAGCTCTCGGAGACTTTCGTAGGGCCCACAAAGGTCGTTATGAGTGCCCTCTGAATCTGAACTCTTTGCGGAGGCCTTAGAGGCCAGCATGTCCCCTGGCACCTGCCTGCGTTGATTTGAGACCCTCCGAGACCCTCCGAAAACTCTGGGTTGGATCCGCCTATGTTTGCTAGCCCCGGAAGATCTGTCGAGCGAAACCTAATTTCGACAGAGTTCGACAGAGCTCTAAGGAGTCCGCAGAGGGCCATTTCAAGTCGATATTTTACCTTTTCGACGCTTTGCGTTCGTTATTTTGTCATTTTGATATTTTGCGTTCGATATTTTGCCTTTTCGATATTCTACGTTCGATATTCTGCCTTTTCGATATTTTGCGTTCGATATTTTGTCTGTTCGATATTTTGCGTTCGATATTTTGTCCTTTCGATATTCTGCGTTCGATATTTTGTCTTTTCGATATTCTGCGTTCCATATTTTGCCTTTTCGATACTTTGTCTTTCGATATTTTGTCTGTTCGATATTTTGCGTTCGATATTTTGTCTTTTCGATATTCTGCGTTTGATATTTTGCCTTTTCGATATTTTGTCTTTCGATGTTTTGTCTTTCGATATTTTGTCTGTCAATATTTTGTCTTTCGATATTTTGTCTTTCGATATTTTGCGTTTCGATATTTGGTTTCGATATTATGCTATTCGATATTTTGCGAGTTCGATATTTTGCAATTCGATATTATGCAATTCGATATTTTGCGATGTCGATATTTTGCGATGTCGATATTTTGCGGTTCGATATTTCGCGATTTCGATATTTTGCGCATTCGATATTTTGCTTTCGATATTCTGCCACTTCGATAATTTGTCTTCGATATTTTGCTATTCGATATTTTGCTTTTCGATATTTTGTCCGGAACCCGTGTACGACCCCCTCGCGTTTGGCCCATGATCAAGCTAGAGCTTCGCGAAAAAAATGAGCGTGTTGCCCGTGAGGAGAGAAGGCCGATGATACCCAATTTTAAGGTCCTAGGTCATCGGTTGACCTTCCACGTCAGGTCAATGACCAAAAAGACTGTAAAATTGGGACCTGTTAGAACGTCGAAAAAAGACTGTAAAATCGGGACCTGTTAGAACGTCGAAGTGTGGCTGCTTTATGGTTGTCGGGGCGCTGATCACGGATATTATGTTAGTTTTGATCACAGATGATGT